CTGCACACTAAGCAATGAACAGACACACGTTAGCACAGAGTATGACTGCTGCACACTAAGCAATGAACAGACACACGTTAGCACAGAATATGACTGCTGCACACTAAGCAATGAACAGACACACGTTAGCACAGAGTATGACTGCTGCACACTATGCAAAGAACAGACACACACTAGCACAGCCAGATTGTACCAACATAACTAGAAAGACTATGGAGCAGGTCTTGCAGGGAGTCATTATTCACTATTTATTTTTACCTGGGGAGATACTACCTTTGATCATAGAGACAGTTGCCAAGTCGGCGTTTTTTCATACACTGATAATAAATAACTTACTCCCTTCCGATTTCTCATCCACCACTTTCAATTTTTGATTTCGTTTCTTCTGATAATCATGGCACTTTTGTAATATATACTTCAATGCCGGAGTTAACATTGAACTAATCTGTTTCGGTGGCATCACTGAACACATCAACAGAAGAACTCTCAGATCCTATAATAGAAACAAACAACTATCAATTCATGAACAGATAATTCCTATTAGTCTCGTCCATTTTTTTAGAAATTTTGGCCTTGAAAATGAGAGCCCTTAGAAAACTACAAAATAGTACAAATCAACACCAGAAAACTGAAATAATAGGCCAGAACATTAAAAACAGTTATTCCATATAACACAGCACTAATCATAAGGCATACTAATGATTTGGAAACTGATAATTAATGGTTCAATTCACAAACAGCTTAATAAGATATCTTACCCCATTCATTCTTGTTGCTATTGACAACAGCTGCTGCGGACTACAATTATCTATTTCAGTTCTGTCAGCAATGATTGAAGTAGCAATAGTGTTGACAAGAGGGTTCCAGCTGTTCTCAAGTATCATGCTATATACCTTGGATAAAATAAGATGTAAATATAAAGAAATTTAAAGGAGCATGAGCTGTTTTTTTTACTGTATGTATCAATTGCATACAGGTAACATATGTAAACAGCACCTAGACAGCTGGCTATGCACATACAAACAGCACCTAGACAGCTGACTATGCACATACAAACAGCACCTAGACAGCTGACTATGCACATACAAACAGCACCTAGACATCTGGCTATGCACATACAAACAGCACCTAGACAGCTGACTATGCACATGCAAACAGCACCTAGACATAACTAATGTGATCAACAGAAGTATATAACCTGACACAGCATTATACAACACAAAAGTACTGCAAAAGATGTCTCAATCGAACTATAAGTCACACAGAAATTTGTTTAGAATAAATAAATGAGAGTGTGTCCATATAGATTTTACTGCATAAAACCTCATGTAGATAATAGATTGCTCAATGCTGTCAATACTAACCTTGGGTAGGAATATACAGAAGAAGGAATGCACCGCTGCATTATTTAGCATCAGACGTTCATCCAGGAAGACCGTTTCTATGTATTCGTGAAATGCCGGCATGCTACACAATAGTTTTATACAGTTCTTATCTGCAGCCTGTAAATGTACAAGATATACACATGTGTTCCCAGTAACTATTATGATCATATAGTCTAAACTAAATTAAGACAGTACATGTACCTTTAGTATTTTAGTTGTCAAGAACAGCACAAAAAGGACCTACCTCTGAATGGTAGATATCTTTCCATAGCTCTGCAAACCATGTAAAGTGTAATGGTATAGCTTCATATGCTACGAGCACACCTAGAAAATAACAAGTATGACATTCAGTCTTTCACATAGTGGTTTTATATAGCTTGTTTTGATTGCTACTGCAAAATCAGCATAGGGTCAATATATTTCAAATATAACAACTTAACTACTACAAAACTTCCATACATAGAGCTGTTACATACATTAGTACATCGTAACATAGTTGATTTGTATCATTTTTAAATCCAGAATGAGCTTACACTGTACTCACTACACATATATTCAAACCGAATATTTAACAAGCCATGCATGACACAGTTCCCGTTAGTTATCGTATTTAAGATATATAGTTTTGATGGACATTTGTATCTGATCATCAAACGAATATTGAGAGATAACAGCATTAATTAAATCAAATTCAGCCATTTTGAATACATGTATAATGAATATATAAAATTTTAACATAGTCAGTCAAAGCATGTCAGAGATATGGCTCAAGAAGCCCATGCATTAAAACAAAATGGCCACTAGTCAGCCATTCAGAATCCGATCTAAAAAATAAAACAACGTGCATCAGGAACCCGTAATGTCTAATGATGTACCAAGTTTGAACAAAATCCATCCATAAATGCCAGAAATGCTTGATATTTGATGAGTTTTCAGCACAAAAATGGCCACCATTCGGCCATTTTTAATAGGATCGTCAAACCAATATATCTGTATATCTATGACATGATGTATAATGAATATTTAAAATTTGAACATAATCAGTCACAGCAAGTCAGAGATATGGCACTAGAACCACATTTAATGAAACAAAATGGCTGCCAGTTGGCCATTTTGAATCTTATCGTAAAAAACAAAATGATGTGCATCAAGGTCCTATAATGTCCAACATATATACCAAGTTTGAACAAAATCGATCAGTAAACAGTCGAGAAATGTTTGATTTTTAGAACATTCGGCCATCTTGAATCAGATCGTGAAACAAATTGATGTGCATATGTATAATATCATGCACGATGTATGTGTGAAGTTTGATTGTGATTGGCCCAGGCATTTCTAAGATACAGGTCCGGACGCACGCACTGACACACTGAGGTCAAAACTGCGTTCGAACGGGGACTACGGTAATAAAAACAACAACACTTTTAACCATATTTAGCATCTTTGGTATCATGGCTATCTTTATGGATTTTAACAAGGTAACTCAAGAATATATTTACAACACTGAGTTTTTCTTTACATAGTACCATAATCATCGATACATTTCAACAAATTATCTTATTGCCAAAACCAAATGCATTTAATTGCATATTTTTAAAATATCTAGTCAAATAGTATTTCAATCAATACAGTACAGTTCTCGCGGAAGCTTTGGCTTTTGTGGCATCATTGTCGCCTACGCATGGATTCATTGTCGCCTCAGCATCGCATCATTGTGGCATCAGCTTCGTGTCATTGAAAATTGAAGCTGTGTTCGCCCCGCTTATTTTGTGGCATCATCGTGGCCTCAGCTTCGCAGTTTTGTGGCATCATCGTGGCCTCAGCTTCGCAGTCTCATGGCATCAACATGGAATCAGCTTCAACATATTGTGACATGAGTATGACCTCATTATTTTCACATGGAAAGGCAGTAGAGAAAAACACATGTACAGAAGTTCGATATGTAATCGATTTGAAATTCAAAGCGATAAAGGGAATAAAATAATATGACCAAGAGTAAAATGACATTTTAAACAAATATCTTGTTTAATTATTTAATGTTGCGAGTATTGGGTACCAAAAACTATGTGAAGTACATTGCAATCTGCAAGGTGACGATTGACTGTGTAAGCTA